ATTTCGTCTTCGATTTCCACGTCTCCCCAGATGTCATGTTCGACAAGATCATCAAGTTGTCCGTAAGTGAGCATGGTTGCGTTGTCCTTTTCATGGGGCTTTGGAAGAAACCAGCCTGCTTTACATATGAACACGGGATGGATTTAAGGTCCTGGACATGAGACCCTGAACAGGAGCCGAGGTGTTCGGTCCTACAAGCCTCACCTCTTTTGCAGACCCGCAGTCCCTCTTTCTGTTGCTGACTTTCATTGCTGGGGCCACACAGCTCCACTCCTTCATTCGCTATCTCCCTCCTTGGCTGATCTTCAGTATTTGAGAGCCAGGCAGAATTAAACCTGTCTCGGGATGTGTTTAGGCTTGGGGAGAAGCAAGACCTTCCTGAGCCTGCCAGAGGATTTCCTGAGGCATGAGACTGGCAGAGCTATTTTGGAAATTCAGGACTGCAGATGCTGAGAGCAAAGCAGAGACTGCAGCCCTCCCCACAGCCACGGAGGAGGGTGATGAACAAGATTTGCAGATTTACTGACCAAAGCACGCTAATTAGGAGTATCTATATCTATCCTGTGCACAGACCAGCTGTACAATTTCTCCCACAAAGGGAATTAGACCATATATTTTGAGCATCTAAAAGACCCTTCTTTCAGGTGAATGTCCCAGTGTTTGCTGCCATAGTGGCTGGAAAAGTACAACTTGTTTCAAAGATTAATTTCTTTGCCTTTTTTTTCTATTCAATCCAAGTATGCACTTGTTTGCAAGACTGCTAAGCAAGAGCTGCCAACCCCACCATGCCTCTTAGTGTCCTTATACAGACCAAGGTCCTACACAGACCAAGGAAAATGCATCAGCTCCTTTCTCATCTGACACTGAACACCTCTGGAAAGAGCCTGATGGCTCCCAGGGCATGGAAAAAAAATCTGACTTGTTTTCCTCTCTCAATTTCCAGGTGATCCACTCAAAAAACCTCTTGCGCAGTGGGACTTTGGTAGGCTCCTTCAAGATGGATGTTGGAACTGTTTACACTCAGCCTGGTATGTAAATGCTGTTTGCAACCAGTCCTATGTGCCTACCGGCACCGTTGAATAAATGTCCTTGTCAGGCAGCTGGGCAGGTGCTAGTTTCCTTGGGTGATTGTCCTGGTTTCAGCTGGGATAGAGTTAATTTTCTTCCTAGTAGCTGGCATAGTGCTGTGGTTTGGATTTAGTATAGAATAATGCTGATAACGCGCTGATGGTTTAGTTGTTGCTGAGCAGTGCTGACACCAGTCAAGGACTTTTCGGCTTCCCATGCTCTGCCGGGGGCACAAGAAGCTGGGAGGGGGCACAGCCAGGACTGTGCCAAAGGGCCATTCCATACCATATGGCGTCATGGGCAGTATAGAAACTGGGGGGGTTGGCCGGGGGCAGCGATCGCTGCTCCGGGCTGGGCTGGGCATCGGTCGGCGGGTGGTGAGCAACTGCATTGTGCAGCACTTGCTTTGGATATTATTATTACTATTATTATTATATTGTTGTTGTTATTAATTTACTTTATTTCAATTATTAACCTGTTCTTATCTCAACCCAGGAGTTTTCTCACTCCTCCAATTCTCTCCCCCATCCCACCAGGGCAGGGGGAGTGAGCAAGCAGCTGCGTGGTGCTGAGTTGCTGGCTGGGGTTAAACCACGACAGCGATGCTTATCTAACTTAATTTTAGTATCCTAGATATAAGCAAGTGACCTGGGCTCCCTCTGCGGTCAGGAAAGAGCACGCAGCACCTCTGGAGAAGGTTGTATATCCCACCCTGAAATAAGGTGTTAGAGCCAGAGGCTGAGATGCCCTCTTGGTGTGCTAGTCTCTATCCACTGACCTGCTGAGGAAGGAAGCCCAAGGCGACTTGCTTAGGCAAGATATCGACCTTCCAGATATCTGAAGGTCCTAGGGTGGATCTTGCCCTCTGTGGCCGGCATTTAAACCAAGAAAGGAAGATGTCTGGTGTGCAATGGAAAAGAGAGAGAGGTTGATTAGAGCTGCTGTCGTGTTGCTCACTGATGATAAACGGAACAGCAATGCCCCTTTGAGAGCTGGGTGGTCACAGCATGCCAGAGCTGAACACAGAACACCCCTTCAGAAAAAATACCTCCAAAATCACTGTGGGTTTTTTTTCCTTGCTCCTATGTCACCTTATTGCTGCACTCTGCCTCTATAAATAAGCCTGAGAGCTAAGATGTCAATGAAGCGTCCAGAGTCTGCATTTCAGGGTTGCTCAGCAGATGATGCTGGGGGAACCATGAGGGAGCATCTAGCCTGGTTCCCTGCTCCACAGAAGGGTGAAGTCTTTCTAACACCATCCAAAAGGCACCTGAGACCTTAAAGATTTAGAATCATAGAACCATTTAGGTTGGAAAAGACCCTTAAGATCATTGAGTCCAACTGTTAACCTACCACTACCAAGTCTGCCACTAAACCATGCCCCGAAGCACCACATCTACATGTCTTTTAAATACCCCCAGGGATGGTGAATACCTCCAGAGATGGTGACTTCCAGTGATGGAGACTCCACCCCCCTTCAGACAGTTTATCCCATGGCTTCTCACTCTACAACCCAAGACACGTCTCCATAGTGAATTTTTCAGGGGTTTCCATCTGAATTCCTCACACCTGAAGATGTCTCTTACATTTCCAGTCCTCATGGTAATTGCTGTGTCTCATTCTGATAAATGACTGTCTTGTCCCTTGGCTTCCAGAGCACCAGTTCTACCACAAATGGGCCATCCTTTCCGACCCTGAGGATCTCACTGCTGGGCTGAAAGGTTACCTGAAGTGTGACATCGCCGTGGTAGGGCAAGGGGACAACATCAAGACACCACACAAAGCCAATGAGACGGACGAGGATGATATTGAAGGGTAAGGATCTGCAGAGCCAGCTTCACATAGCCTTGCTTGGGAATGACTTTTCATGTCTCTTCACCTTGGATTGTGCAATGAGGACAGCATCTCTTCTGGATGAGGCTGATAGCCCTTCTAGTACCCATACTTGCCGTGTGCAATGAAACCAGAGGGACCAAATACATTGCCAAAAAAGAGAGAATGCGTGGCAGATTACTGGTGCAAATCCAGGTCAATACCAAGTACAGACCAGTCATTTCTATCAGGTCAGACTATCTGCTGGTTGTTGAGCTCTCTATACCAATGCCAGCCCGATGTCAACCAACCTGATATCCCCACTGTTTACCTAATGCTTCTGTTGGCGATGGGATGGGGTCTCATCGCTCCCTGCCAGGGCAGAGCAGGGAGGTCTGGATGAGGTTTCCCAGGCTGCGTGGGTGAGCAGGGCTCTTTGACTCCCCAGAGCATCTAAAAGACCGTGGAAGAAAAATCAGGAGAGTCTAAAGCTTAGTTCCAGCCCCGAAATATTTCAGGCTAATTAAATATTTCCAAAGGCAACCACAGGCTTTAAAGTCTACCTCTCAGCCTCTCACCACATAGTCAGAAACCCAAACTAGTAGCAAATACCAGTGCAGCTCTCTTGACTTGCTGGGGACCTGGGGGCTCAAGGCACCACCTGAACTATTTTGGGCCATGGTTCCATGTCGTAGTGGTGATATTATCCCACTTTTTCATGGACAACTCCAGCAATTCCTCTAGAAATCATTTTGTTCACAGCATCCCCATGGCTCTCGTTTCTTGCCCCAGAACAGGAAAGCCACATATACCAAGAAAAACAATTTGATGGAGTTCAATTCTCCCACCAAAATAATTACCCTAGCTCCCCTTGTACCCTGATAAAGAAAAAAGGCTCTTCTAACATCCCATTCATCTGGCCTGCTTTGGATATCTAAATTAGGCTGAGTTTAATTGTACTCTAGACTCCACTGACAATAATGATTATATCCCTTTAGTGGAATGCATATTGTCCTGGGGCACCTCAAGGGGGTCCTCTAAGGTTTTTTTGCTTGCAAACCCACCACTTCCCACCCCAAAACAGGAGGATGGGCAGAAATAGGACAGCAATAAAATCTATGGCTGCAAAAATGGTCATCCTTCCACCTCCACAGAGCCTGTGCTCAGAAAGTGGGGCAGCTTCTCCCTCTTTGGTAAGCCTCTCCTGACAAACCTGCCAGCCCCAGTAGCTGTTTCCAACCCTATCTGTTGATGTTGTAGGAACCTTCTCCTCCCAGATGGGGTCCCTCCGGAGAGGCAGTGGGCTCATTTCTACATCAAGATCTATCGAGCAGAGGGACTGCCCCGTATGAACACCAGCATCATGGCCAATGTGAAGAAGGCTCTCATTGGGGAGAACAAGGACTTGGTAGACCCCTACGTGCAGGTGGTCTTTGCAGGACAGAAGGTGAGCAAGCTGCGTGCAGTACCAGGGTGACCCTGGGAGGTAACATGAGCAGGACCAGCCATTGTGCAGATGGACAGAGCTGATCTCCGTTGTCCTGTCATGGGGAAGCTGAGATGCAGGGCAAAGCCACCTTGTTTGCTATGTTTTCCCTCTCTTGTGCAGACTGTGATGGGTTTGCAGCACTCTCCAGTTGAGGAAAGGAACTTATTACTTGGGAGAGGAGAGTCATGAGACAGAATGCGTTTCAGTGGTCATTAGGAAGGGAGCAGGTCAGGTTGTGAGGGATGGCTTGGGAGCTCAAACCCTTGTCAAACGTATATCTCCTCCCACTCGGCAGGGGAAGACATCCATACAAAAAAGCAGCTATGAGCCTCTCTGGAATGAGCAAATAGTCTTCACAGAAATGTTCCCCCCATTGTGCAAGCGAATAAAGATCCAGATCCGAGACTCGGACAAAGTCAATGATGTGGCCATTGGTACCCATTTCATTGATTTGCGGAAGATCTCTAACGAAGGCGACAAAGGTAAAGCTAAGGCGGGGGGCAGACTGAGCTACCTTCTTCATGGTAGAGAGACATCCCTTTGGCAGAGAGTTAGCAAAATAGCCTAGGCCTCTTCCCCACCCCTGGAGATAGCTGCTTCTTGGTCCCCAGCCAGAGAGACCTTGATTCACCGCAGTGGTCTTCTGAGGTCACTGGACATGTGCTCTTTGAAAACCAAGCCCTGTCACAAGCCTCCAGTCTACCACTTGAAAGCAAAGATGCCCAAGAACAAAAAATTCATTGCCATGAATGGATGAATATCTGACAGGTTCCCCCATTCACACACACATGAACACACCAGCATACATGGGCAGGACCAATGTGAAACCAAAGAAAGGGGACTTTTCTTGACTCTCACATTGGGTAACTTGTCCAATGGGTCACTCACCTCTGTCTTTGGGCCAGTGCACTGCACAGTCCCCATCACTGCCTCCACTATAAAACTGTCTCCATGTATGGCTGCAATCATGCAATTCCATGCACACACATGTGCATATTCAAGTCTGCATCACCATACACAGACCAGGAAAGTGATGCCAATTCGTGAGTGAGTTCATATCCTGAGGCAAAGACATGCCGTCCTCCTTGCACATCCCATTCCCTATGTGCATGTCCGATCTACTGCAGGCTTCCTGCCCACCTTTGGCCCTGCATGGGTGAACATGTATGGTTCCACTCGGAACTACACCCTAATGGACGAGCATCAAGAGCTGAACGAGGGTCTGGGTGAAGGCGTCTCCTTCCGGGCCAGGCTTTTGATGAGTCTTGCTGTGGAGATCTTGGACACCACCAATCCAGAGATCAACAGCTCCACCGAGGTGCAAGTTGAGCAGGCCACATCAATTGCTGACGTAAGTCCCCCTAACCCTACAGCTGCCAGTGGTAAGTCTTGGGTCTCAGGCCTCTTAGTTTTTTATCCTTGGTCTGACAAACAAAGGATTTCATTTAGTGTTGTCCTAAGTGTTCGGCATCACCCAGCACAATGAAAGCAAAGCTTGCAAGGATTTCAGATTTTATGATCATTCGAATGCTCACTTCTCTTAGGACTGCTGGGCAGAAGGAATATCTGAGTGAGGGAGGATCCTAAATTTTGAGGTGTTTCTCCAGCTGGGACTTAGACAAGGACAAAGAAAGCCATCTCCTAATGCCAGCTGTCGCACTGCTATCCTGAAGATGGGTTTCAAACAGAAGCCAAGAATCTGATCTGTTTCCCAACCAAATTTGGCAGGGTGGAACTGGTCAGAGAAATTGAATGGCAGTTTCCTGACAAGAGAAGCCTCACAGCGTTAGTCCTGACATGCAGACCCCACAAGACTGCTGCCTGTGCTCTGCATAAAGAGGCACATCCAGGCTTGTCCTACCTGTGGAAGCCCACATAAGTCAATCCATATGAGCCAAGGGTGTGAGGTAGAAATGGAGAAGTTTGGTGGCAGTGCACCCTTTGTGTGACAGCTCTCCTTCAGAAGTAAAGTGGTTTTGATTCACCTCCAGGGGAAATGAAGCCACCTGGAAATAAAGCCATTCCAGTTCTGAAAGAGCATGCAGGCAGATGGTTCAGTGTGGTTTGATTAATTCAATTTGTGAGTGAACTCAGGCTCATGTTCCCAAAGGTCCCTTGGACAGTCCCTCACGTGCAAGGGATGACTGATCTCAGTTAAGCCAACACATTTAAAAGTTAGGCTAAAATCTTTAATTAAACTCTCTCTGCAGTGAGCCTAGAGACGGCTCAGGCTGGCGGAGAGAAAACCCTCGTGGTCCCCTTGAAAGCCCAAGCAGTGGCACCTCACCTTCAAAAAAGCCCATGAGGGTGCTCAGAGGTGCCAGGCAATGCACCCTCTGCCCAAGGGGACCTGCCTTCCCAGGTGTCCCTCCAGCTGACCCCAACCTTGATCCCTGGGATTTCTCCTGCAGAACTGCACTGGGAAGATGGAGGAGTTCTTTCTCTTTGGAGCCTTCCTGGAAGCTACCATGATCGACAGGAAGATTGGTGACAAACCCATCAACTTCGAGGTCACAATAGGTTGGTTGTTTTTTGGGGAGGGTGGTTCTGAAGCATGCTTGGCAGGGAATGCAGGATATGAGGCCAAGAGCAGGGTTTATTCCCCATTTTCCATGCTAACACATGCTAGAACATGCAGAGCTCTCAGTTTAGGGAGAAGGTGATGGCAACTTTACTGGCACAAGTCATGCAGGGCCCCAAATCATGTTGTGTGCATGCTGTGCTATGGCCAGTGGAGCTGCTCCCTCTTTCACCCTGGCTTTGTGCCTCCTGAGGCTGACCACCAAAGGGAGGGCGTGTATTCCTACTGGCTCAAGAGGGGACATGAGCAGGGGACAGACACCCATCACTAATGTGTGGTTCCAGGGCAAGGTTTCAGAGAGTTGGACTCCCATGGTTCCTGCAGAGAAAACTTCTCCCCAAGCTGAATTAAAGCCAGGAGATTGAGCTGGATTGGAGTTTACAACCCTGTGACTTTATTTCACATTTTTTCTTGAGGTAACTACGGGAATCAGATCGATGGCATGACCAAACCTGTCCTGCGGAGGAAGAAAGAGGGAGGGGATGGGGATGAGGAGGAGTCCGAGCTGCTCCAGAACTCAAGTGAGGATGAAGGTGATGAGGATGGAGAGCTGGTCTCTGTTTCCTCATCTCAACCCATGAAGCCCCTGGTCACAGACAGGTAAGCGTGCCTGCCTGGCCACTGAAGTGCCACTGGGCAGAGATAGAATCATAGAATAGAACCATCGAATCGTTGAGATTGGAAAAGACCTTTAAGATCACCCAGTCCAACCATTAACCTACACTACCAAGTCCACCACTAAACCAATTAAGGGGAGAGGAAGAATTAATTTCACGTTTCCTGGCTTGGTGGCTGGATTATTTTTTCATAAAACTCTCATGCTGTTTACCCAGAAGTCTCCAGCCCCTGGGTGCTGGGAACATTGTGCTCAACCGTGGGGCTCTGCTGACATCTTCTGGCTGGAAATACCCCGATGGCTTCAGAAGGATGAGCTGAAGCTGTTTTTTAAATACGGGTGATGATCCCAGGTGCAGCAGGATCTGCAGTGGCTTTACCCTGGGTGGATCCCAGCTCATAGCCAGCGCTCAGGCATCCAAGAAGCATGAACCCATTCTTCAGCCTCATCTTTCCGTTAACTGTACCATGACTATTTGTCATGGTTCCCCAGCCAGCAGCTCAGCACCACGCAGCTGCTTGCTCACTCCCCCTGCCCCGATAGGATGGGGGAGAGAATCGGAGGAGTGAGAGTGAGAAACACTCCTGGGGTGAGATAAGAACAGTTTAGTAATTGAAAAAAAGTAAAATAGTAATGATAATAATAACAATATAATAATGATAATAACAATAATAATATACAAAGCAAGTGATGCACAATGCAATTGCTCACCAGCTGCCGATGCCCAGCCGTCCCTGAGCAGCGATCGCTGCCCCCGTCCAACCCCCCCAGTTTCTATACTGCCCATGACACCGTATGGTATGGAATGGCCCCTGGGGCAGTTTGGGTCAACTCTTCTTGCTGTGTCC